AACTGCCTTTGTAATAATCACAAAAGTCAGTAACAGAAGAAGGAATAAAAACTCAGATGACTTTATTTCCACCACCTCTCTTTACCATCACCAGGTTTACTGAGTTTCTCTTAGGCCTGTTCTTTTTTTTTTTTTTTTTTTTTTTTTTTTTTTTTTTTTTTTTTTTTTTTTTTTTTTTTTTTTTTTTTTTTTTTTTTTTTTTTTTTTTTTTTTTTTTTTTAATCTGCTGTGTTTGGCAAACTGAAACAAATACATAAAGAATCTCTTCACTGTGCAGTTCTCATAAGGCAGAAAACTAGGAGGTAAATCAGCTCACCAAGACAGCATTTTGCTGAATCTAATCACAGGTACATGAGCAATTTCAGGGATATGATGGGTGCCAGAATCCAGCTCTTGTCAGTACTTGTAGTCATTTGCATGTGCTGGTGGGCGGCAGTTTAAATTACCAAAATTCCAAACTATGAGTTACACTCTGTATAAATCAGAGTGGGGTTACCTTCCAACAGGACAGTATTACAGTGTTTCGTGTATTAAATTCATTAACTAAAATGTTTACAAAATGTACCAGAGGCATAATAAAGTTATCAGGGTACATCAAAGTAGAGGGAAGCAAGGATCATTGGTCTGCAGAATTTATGGATGTGGCAAAATTCAAGCTGGGCTTTCAGCTGACCTTGAGGAATTTAGCATCTCACTGAAATGGAATAGTAGGTGAATGCCTGTTCATTTTTTACAGTCTTCATTTGTAAGGTTCCCGGTAAACTACCTATCAATGCTTTCCTCCTGTTTCCATCATTCTTTCCTTTTTCTCTCAATCTTTTGCACCCCCTTTTCTTCAGTCTTCTTTCTTATTTGCTTTTTATTCTCCTGGAACTTCATTAAAATTTGGAAAATTATGCACTAAAAATACTTTCATGATACTTCCGTTTTCCCCAAATTTCAAAGCTTTTATTAGTCTCACAGCATAACAGAAGTCATAATAGTTTTATTTTACATAAATAGTAAAATTTCTTGCGATAACTAAATAACTTATGATCAGCTTCACAAGTGAACAGTCCTTGGGTGATGCAGGAAGTACTCGGTGTTGGGACAGGCTGGGAGCATAACAGGGCTTTTCCTTTTGGCTCAGCTCCAAGGCTTCTATGCTCCTCCAGTCTGCTGGTGAACATGTCCTGACATTTGTAACTATTAAAACATGTAACATTTTTAAGTATGTGGTGCTGAGACTGACTGCTGCTCGAGCTGCTGAGTGTGCCAGAAGTGCTGGTTTATATTTAAGTTGGAAAGTCATGGTTTTCACTTTTTAAAAGTGATCCTGAAAAGCCATTTTTTTCTTTGAATCTTCATTATAGGCATGGGTTATTAGGAGGCAAAAGCCAGTATAAAGAATAAGGAAGTTAGGATTTAATTTCTTTTGTGACTAAAAAGAGTGATAAAAGCCTGGCCTTAATTAGTGATATGCTTTATTACTGAAGTGCAAAGTAAGAGTACTTAAAGTAGCAAGAGTTAAATTTCATGCAGCACAGGCTTGCATGAGACTAATGTACTGTTTACATCCCTCAACATTTTAGAGTAATAAATGTAATGTGTGCTATAGTGCTTTCTTCTGTCGATAATTGCCATATGGATGGCTTTGAAACAGCCTTGAATCAATTCCGGATTGACATGGAGACTGGGAATAAGCTCACAAAAACAGTACAACACTGCAAAACAATTGATGATAGCACAAACAGCTTTGAAAACTAGCACAATATGGAGGCAGAATACAATGCTCTGCAGTGCACATCTAGGCCCCAGGAGCATCATGCAGCAGTATAGGGCTGCAAAGTAAACTCCCTGCTTGGCTGTTTATAAGGGTGCTATTAGATCTGCTATTACTTCTATTGCACTTGAAGAGGAGGTACTGCTCTTAAAAACGTACATGCACCTCTGTACTGTGCATTCCTGCTCCACACCTTTCCCTTCACTGGTTCCCTTTTCCTGCACAGTGAATCAATTCAGGTCACTAATCTGGCAGAAAAAAAGAAACCAGTTTTCCAGTAGATTAGTGACTTGGCTAAACTCATTATGTGGTGAGTACCAGAGCATGATCTAGAAAGAGGTGAAGACAGCACAGCTTCAAGTGGAAGCTGTCTGTGCTGGGGAGTGAGATCCCTTGTTTTGAAGGCAACGATCCTTTATATTGAGTTTGGCTGTAACACATAAGCCCAAAAACACATTGGAAGGGAATAAATTCTGTTTACTCGTTTCAGAGTCACCCACAGTACTATAGGTCATATTGTGACCATGTACTCAAGGGTAAATATTGGGACTGTTAATTGCTCTAATTAATATCTGTGAGGTAAAACTGGTTTTGACTATGTAGAATAAGCACACATGCCCCTCAGTGCACACCATGCTCAAAAGTTGAGTGATCCACCTCAAAACATGCACTTTGCCATAAGAGATTGCTCCTGGGGTCATATGGGGTGGGGAGGGAAACCTAGAATTGTTAAGATTGGAAAAGACCTCCAAGATCATCAAGTCCAAGCTTTAAATGTAATACCAGCCAACTTCTACATATGCTTAAGGGAAGAGTCTTCACTTGAGCAGGGGTATTTTTGACGCTTGGCTGTGATTTTTGTAGTATTATAATGAGGATTGTTCAGCTATAGGATAGATGGACCTTGGTTGAGTCTTTTGCCAAGTTAACAATGTATACATAGAGAGGCAACAATATCTTGATTTACTACATCCTTAAAGTTTGTTAGTTCAGGATGTCCTTGAGTGAGGGATGCTGGTTGCTATCTGTTCCACTGATTAGGTCTCCTTTCTTGCTGATTAGGCTTGATAGTCCAGAGAAGGGTGACAAAAGTGAAGGATCCGGTGCACAAGTCCTGTGAGGAGAGGCTGAGGGAGC